ACTATTGACAATTATTTTGAGTATCGAAAATATTATTTTATTAGTTCTGTAAACGTGATCAATTTTCCCCCGGTTAACGATACCTGTCGTTTGGTTTTCGTGTATTGGCTGCTTAGCAAACTCGTGAATAATATTGCGTAGTAGTTGGACTAGCGCACAATGAAAGAAATCTAGGCTTCATCGATCCAATTTATCATATAAACAATCGAGCGTGCCTGTAACCAATTTAAATACAACCAGCGATATGACACCGAATCTAGTGACCGGTATCGCATTACCTGACCACTCTTAATAGCAAAATATAATTTCCCATATTTAAGTTTTGAACCGATAATATCTCAGCGATACACGGGGTGCTCACCCGATCATGGTGGTGCATAGAGTTTCCACCGTTCGTGATTCCCCCCGGCACCGTTGTTCGAGAGAAAAGTGTCAGATGGGATAATAAAAGTCGTAAACTTCTATCTCGACACTGGATCAGAAAGCCAAAAAAAAAAGGCAAAGCAAAGCAGCGCACAGGGACGAAAACAGACCATTAAATGTAAAGACGATCGCCTAGCTAGACGATCGACGTGGTGGCGGTTCACTAGAAAGGGGAGTGGAGATGGTCAACGGCAATAAATATTGATCCATTGACCAGAGATCGACTTTTTTCCCGTTTTATTCTCCACGGTGTGGTGAAAATTTATCTCTGTTGTCATTGCGTCTAGGAGGGAAAATATACAGCGAGAAGCGCTCGGTGAGAAGAAAGTTGACTCGTACCTTGATTGGCCGTGATTTGTGCCAGATAAGGACCTGGCAGGAAAAAGTGGGAGAAAAGGGCATCGGGAAAGTATTTCGATGAACGCTGTATAATTTATTGATTTTCTTTTCGTTCTGACATGGGCTTTTTCTTCTTCTTTGGAACAGAACTCACCATCTGTGACGTTGTTTCCATTTTATTTTCCCTGATGCGGCTTGCCCACTCAAACAACGATGGTGAAATGTAACAGTTGTGAGTCAGGTTCATTTTTGTTTCGGGTTTTTTTTTTTCTCTTTTGGAAACGAAACAGCATAGAAGGTAATAAATTTATCGAGGATTCGAGATTACAGCATTTTTTTTTTCACAGAAACGAAATGAAAGAGATTTTTCCTAAATCGGAATTAATGGCATTCATTCGTCGTTTTTCGTTTGCTGCTACAACAAAAGCCGCGAACTCAGCGAGGGATTTATATGAGGTGCTTCTAAAATAAAATGGGCCATTTTTCCACAACAACGTGCAATGAACTAAATCAAAATGATAGAGGTTAAAAACACAGCTGACAGTACCGAAGCAATAATCGGTGGGGTGTTTGAAGCGAAGAAATACTACACCTGACACTCCATTTTTCTTCCACCCACCCATTCGACCTAAGCCTGTGTCGGTGCGCATCGTTTCACAACGCGCTGGAAAGCAGAGCTGATTTTTAATCAAAAATCCTCTGCAATTTATAGTAGGGAAGCCCCCCATGGACGCATGAGTAGTCAGCAAACGGTGACGACGGTGACGATGGAAGGAGAGGGAAATGTGCTTGTGATGGCTCTCCCTTTACGATCGTCAGCGAAAATTTCCTTCTCGATAAATGCATACGGAAAGCAATTTCGCCCTCTCATCCTATCGCTCGATTTCCAAACCCCGGTATTCAATATTGGCATACGCCCATTCCGAATTCAGAAAAGATATTTCCCTAGAGGGATTCATCAAATAGCCCCCAGGAAGTGAGTGGAATGATTATGTTTGGGCCTTAACGTCCAAAGTTTTGCTGGGAATTTCTTTTCGTCTCGAGAGCTGTGTTCTGAATTATAAAGTTTTCTGCAAACATGGAACAATGCATATTTTTTACATCGAACGTATTTTCAGCCACGATCTCTTCCTTTACATCAGTTTCCTCCAACGCCGCCCCTTCGATGGTGCAATTGATTTATTGTATTTTACCATCGTGTCAAGGAGTGCTTCAGCTCCACTCTACCGCGCATAAATCTCATTTTTACGACCAATTTAAGCCGGCGAATCCATGACTTTTCATAGTTTCTGTACTTTACCCTACGGACGACCAACTCTCTTTCGGTTGATCATAAGAGGTAATAAAAATTGCACTGTACAAAACTTTCATACAATGAGGCACACTGTTGTTGTAGACAGTGTTTATATAGGACGCCCTTTGACGATGACCTAAATGAAAAAAAAAACCTGCGCTTTCCATGCGTCCCGCATTTTCAGAGCGAAGAAAAAGTTCTTTCCCTGCTCGTAAAAGTGAACATAATTTTATGGCTTTTAAATAATATCTAAGACAGCAAAGTTTTACGACTTTTCCGCAAAAAGGAGTGAACAAGAAAAGCGAAAACAATAAATTTTCCAGACCAAGATCGTGACAGACTCGGGAATTAGAATTTAAGCCGGCATGAGTTGTGGGGAAATGATTTACGAGGCGAGTGTCTCGCGGTTCGAGTGCCAAAACAGCATACCTACTGGGAGCCGACGAATCGATTTTCGATCGCTGATTAAACGGAGGCATGCGTTCGAGATGAAGCAAAAAAAAAAAGAAACTGGCAATCCGTACCCATAAAAATTGGAATAATGATTTGTTTGGCAATAAAATTTATCGTCTATTTGACATTTAAATGGCGGAACAATACGGCCAATAAAAGCTCGTTGCTCTGTTCAACGAAACGAGCTTCAATTAATCGATTCAGACTTGGAAATATTTTTTCGGGTGCGTTTAAACTCTAAACGAAGTGATCGGAGCTGCAGTAATGGGGTTTAATGGAATGAATATGTTTTTTATTGCACGCTTCTTTGATTGCTGTTGACAGCAAATAATTCACCGAATTCCGGCCGCCCAGACGGCGGGCATCTATTTTAGAAAAACTACTCCCGCAAATGTGACTAAATGATATCAAATGGGCCATTAACCACGCCTCGTTTAGACCGTCGTGTTGTCGAAGGTCATCTACGTTTGGCTCCCCACAATCTGGCTGCGGTGGCTGGAAGCGAGGCACATGGGATTCGCTATCCGGTTATGATGGCGATGACCACCAACACCAACAAGAAAATTGAGCCATTTCAGTTGTGGTGCCTTCGAACCTGGTGAAAAATCTCAGCACCCGCGTAGGTTTCGCTTTAATTGGCCAATAAAGTGTGTAACTGTAAGCGAAAGAAAAGACCCAGGAGGATGCCGGCCATGAATCTTGCCGGTGGAGACCAGTAACCACGAGTCAAGATAATCAGAGCTACGCTGTTGGCTTGCGTATGCGGTCGTAAACTAGGAGAAATAATTGAATTGATTAGCACAGTGATATTATGGGAAGGAGTAGGTACGCGACATGCCGTGGATGCTGGACCTCGAAACAATTTCTTCAATCGAATTAATGAACTTCTTGGACGATTGGGTGTATGTGCTGGAGATTGACATTTTTACCCGGTGGCGGTCGGCACTGCTTTGGGACATAAATCAAGACTTTAATTGAACCTCCTTTCAATTAGTTGAACGATTCTGTTCGGCCATGATATTATTTCCATCTGATATGTGATGTTTGATATAAACCAGGAATCAATTGTGCCACATTTGGAACTACCAGAGATAGGTCTGGAAAATTTGATCGCTTTGAAATTGTCCGACTTTCTCCAAGTGAGTGGTTCGGCTTCGAAATCCTTACGCAACACAGCCATAAAACAAGCTTAATCTACCGCAATTACACGATCGTCGTCTAAAGCTTGCTGATAAAGAAATTCATTCCCATGGAAATGGAAATCCTGCATGAGCATACCGCCGTCGAGTGTGTTAACCCTGGGACCGACCTTAATTTATTCCACACGCGGTGTCTTCGTGCAGCAAAGGAAACAACCCCTCCGATGAGTTGGAATATAATTTAATGAAATTGAAATTTTTCTCAAGCAATTCTGGTTCTTTTTTCCCTGTCTAGGCTTCTGCGCGTACGTATAGTTTAGAGAGGACGTGACTTAAAAGTAAATAACGACTGTCACTGGACTCACTCGCAATACCAGAAAAGAGAAGAAAAAAACCGCGCGGGATCATAACTCATGTCATGAGCTTTGAAACCCGATGGGGAAAAAAAAGACCATCTTCTGCATTCAAATGCAGTCAGACCTGGACACTGTGTCTGAGTCAGTCTGAGATTGCATCTTCCTTGCCGTGCGAGGTCGTAAAATAGAAGATGCGACACAATCGCTCTCCGCAAAGGTGTCTCACGGCTTGAGATCCGCAAGCTGTGGTTTCTGAGAAGCGACGGAAAAATCCAGTTCTTCCATTTCATTTGGAATTCAAATATTCCGACCAACACAAACGACACAAGCCTGGATGCTGCTGCTGCTGCGTCAGACTCTCCCCATCACAATCAGCATAAATTTTCTTCTCATCCGACCATGGCTGAATTCAGTGGAAGGCTGAACACAAACCGAGGAGGCACCATATGTTGGCCTTTTCTCTGAATAAAGGGAGCACTTTTTTTTCCATTCGTTCCATTATCGAATTAAGAGCATGGCCTTTTTCCCTCTTCATCTTTCTGTTGGACGCCATGGCCTTTTGTATGCTTATGTAGTGGCTCTGTAGTATAAATCAGTGCATGTGTCAAAGCACCAGGAAAAAAGTTACAATGTTGGTGTGCGAAACGAGTTTTTCCTCTTCTGTTCGTGCCAACAACTGTCCAAAGTCCGACCGGTCGGTACCTGGATGGGTTTCATGTTGGCGGCCATGAGCGAGAAAACTTGACTGAAAACCGCACAGGGAAGCATGGCGGTAAATTGGCTTTTGTTTAATCATACATCCTCTTGACGTGAATTTATAACACTGTAGGTTTTTTTTTGCTTCTTGCTCGGTGGCGGCGTCCCTTGTTGGGTTGACCGCCATCATGCTTCATTTCATACCACAATGCACGCTTTCTCAGATCTGACGGAAATTATAAAACTCACAACGGGGTTTCACCAGAAGGACACAACGAATGCAATAAATGATCGACTTACCTGCGAAATCTCCGCACACCACTCGGTCGAAGGGATTACTCATCCAATCTGAGGAACAGAAAATAAAATAAATTAACACAAGCATTTAAATTTCACATCGAAAAATCGTTTCCATTATGATCATGACAACGGTCAACATAAATCGACTAAAGTGAGAATTGAGAATCACATCCCTCAAGTTGACGATTTGTTTACACACACTGAAACAGGTACGGTGATTTATTTGCATATGTCAATGGCCACTGGTCAGGCAAGCATAAAACATGCAACGAAAAAGGCAGCCAATAGCCAGCACATTTCCAGTGAGAAGTCATTTTGAATGTCCCTTCCTTTTCTTTTCGTGCTCTACATTCGCATTCTCTCCTCTTACGAACATAACGAATTGGCTGAGAATGATTTATCTCCCATCCTCAAACCACCTTCCACATTCTAAGCACTCATCGACAGACCAAGAAGGGAATCTCGTTTTGCGTTTTCTCGGGGTCGAACCGGTCGAATTAAAATTCCAGCTTAAGATCCACGCTCGAAACCACTTCTCTTACGCACTTAAGTGGATTAAAGCAATACTCTGTACCCGGGACTGGCTTCGGTTTCGACTTGCCATGCCTTTTCCGGCCCATTATCGTCATTGGCAATCGTTTTAATCATTATAATAACGATCAACGAAAGAAATAAGTTCGATTTCAATTTGAATTTTCTTTCCTCTTCATCGTACACGATACAAACGGTCCGATGCGGTCAAACAAGGGCCCTGCACACACCAGAATCGCAAAGGGGGAACCCACGAGAGAAGCAAAAATAAAGAAAAAAAAAATCACCCATAAAATTCAAGTTATTTCAATCAGCCCAATGAAACCGAGGCCGCGTCTTACTTTTTTGCTGCTGCCTTTTCTTTACGTTACGTCGTCTTCGGATAATTTGAACGAAACAACATAAGAGACGGCAATCAGCAGGGCCATCGTTCCATCGAGGGTATCAGCATTCAAAATCTTCTCCTCACAGCAATTGCTCACTTTTCTGTCAAAATCCATCCAAACATATGACAACAAATATCGATTTCACCTAGAGCCTAACCCGCTGAGAAGAGTTCTGTTTTGCACCTTATTTTGCACACCGTTCACCGGTTAGTTACGCAATACTACGGTTTGAGACACAGCGAAGCAAAAAAAAAAAACGGGATACAAAACGGAACTCTCACAGCTGGCACCCTCCAAGGGTTGCGACTGCGGATGATTTGTACGTCTTAAGCCTTCCACATTGGGTCATGACTCCTGGTGGGTGCTTTCTATTTTTTTTTGTTTTCTTCGTTAGTTACTTTTTAGTCGACCTTGGGCAAGAGAAAGCCAGAAAGCGTGGAAAGGGTTTCTGGCTCAACGGGTTTGACGCAATCAGTTTCTGGATAAGTGGAAACAATTTGCAAGGTCTGATGAATGCGGGTCTAATGACTCGAGTTAACGAACATCTTCAAGGTTAAGACTAGGGCGAACATAGAAATTAAATCCACGGCGCCTGACGTCGTAAGAATTTTTAAAAACAAAAAGCAAGGATTTCCCGACAGTCGGCCAAACGCCAGATGCATAACTCGTAAAATAAAGCGACAAATTTCCAGCTAACCTTGAGAAATTCGTGAGCAATTGGCACCCTTCTTACTAGCGCAAATTGTTAATTTTCAAAAATCATCGAAAATGTAAGATTCTATCACAGATTTGTATGAAAAGTATGCAGAATTTGTACCGCACGAACAGATTCTGGTATTGTTGTCACCGGAAAGTTTTTTTTTTATAATTCTATTATTTTTATGTTAGTTTAATTTTCGAACAAAATTTGTTTCCGCGGCCAGGAAATCATCTGGTGAAGGTTTTATACGAATATATTTAGTCTGGAAAGACGTGCTTGTAATAAATCCACCATTATTTGTTTAGCGTGCAGCGAGAACATTTTGAACATATGATATTTAAACAAGGTTTTAATAATTTTAAGATTATAGAGTTTATATAAGCTCGGTTGCCAGCCCGGGGAGCTTGGTAACCCCTTCTGCTTACATGTACGCCTTAAAACAATCTACCTTTGTACAATAAAAAATGATTGCATCCTTTACAATTCGCTCTCTTAATCTATATGTGACCAGGTAGATAAATAAAACATAGTTATAGATAGGGTTACGGTATGTAATGTGGGTCTAGTCCTTTCATTCGGCCTATCACGCAAATAAATAATTAATTAAGGAATATTACACAAAAAATAAGGAAAATATTGATCACTGATGGTTGATAAATGTGTACCACACACAAATCAATTTATATCACAACATTTCAATACATTTTCAGCTCTCGTAAGTAATAAAACTGGTTGAGAATATCACAATGTTCGGAGTTTTTAGCCGCCATGACTTATAAGGTTAAGATGGGAAGGTTGACTGACGATCATCAAATGGCCTGATTATGGCATTTATTGATTGGAATTACCTGATAATACACACTAGACGTAAAACTTACAGTTGCTGTTTGAATATTTTATGTTTATTTTAATTGTTTAACAACGTTTTCACAAGTAAAACATGGACCCAACTTTAGGGACACATTTCTTTTCTATGTTCCTAACTATGGCCCATGAAATTCATTTGACAGCATATAGCAATAAGAGTAACGTCAACAATGTTGTTTTGCATTTGGATGATAAGGAACGAACAGGAAGGGAGATTTTTTCTGCCAAACCTGTATAATGAACATCACAATGTTCTGATTTAGATATTCTGCGGTCAAAAGACGATAAGCGAAATTTTTAATTTTTAATTTTTAAATTGAGTGATTTAATGTAGTTTTCGTAAAATTTTCTCTAAGAAATGTTTTGAGGAATGAAGAGCATTAAGTTAACAGTGATAGTGATAAAAAAAAATACATCAGAAAACGTTACCAAGAGCGTTTTTTTGAGGATCAAACAAGATAGGACGAAGTTGCATCCATAAATAGACCCAATTTGGGGACAATAGACCCATATTACATACATTTCCCTCGTGAGTTATTGTCTTAAAAAAAGTAAGTTTTTCAACTTTTCGTGGTTTCTGATAGCAAACGACATGATAAGCATATCTAAGCATACCATTTAGCAGTAGAATATCGTTTGCAGGTAAATTCATTGATGAGTTATGATTAAAAACGTAATCGATGGCTGCATATTAGACCGACGTATACCCTATGTGCCCAAAGCTACCTGCATTAAGATTCCAATCAAACGGTGTACCCAGGCATGGCAAATCATTTACATTCATTTCATGGAATCATTTACATTCATTTGCCTCTAATTTTTTTCATCAACAGCATTTCGCAAAATGATGTACAGAATTTTATTAGGTTTTGTTATTAGCTATATATTTTGCCCATAACTCAAATCTGTATCTCTTATGCATCACGAATTAGAGCGGGCAGAACTTGTTACTGATTTTCAGTAAATGTAAAATTCATTAACTGAAAAACAGTAGTGGCTTCTGTTCACTCTGGTTTGTCATACATAAGAGATACGGATTTGAGTTTTTAACAAAAGTTGTAGCTAATAACAAAACCTACAAATGGCATACACTATTTTGCGGAATTCTGTTGATGAAAAAATTTAGGGGCAAATGAATGTAAATGAATGCACGAAATGAAACCAAAAGATTTTCCATGCCTGGGTGTTACACAATACCTGTTATTGGAAATCTTATAATAAATATGTCCAATAGTACAATTCGGTTAAATCCAATTAGATATCTTTGTATCCTATTAAAAACTATTATCCCATATGAATTTGCCAACTGATCGTATCACTAACCGCAGTGAAATCCTGATCATTATCTATGCTTTACTAAGAAACAATTTTCCGGTTCTAGTAGCAACGACTGTCTAACTAACAATCCTCTCTCTCCTAGATGACCGTAAGGACGTGGCTGGTGCCGTTACTTATTGAAAAATAGATTGATCAGGGAATAAAAGCACTTTGAAAATGGTGAGCAAATTCTAAGCATAATTTTAATTGTACTTTTTACTGTTATGTCCAAGGTTGCAAATACTCATTTCAGCTAAAACAATGTTTTTTTTTTTAACTATGAAATAATTAGATGCCATGATCATATTTTGAATTGGTAGGATACAAGAAGAGGTTGGAAAGAATGTGTTTGTCATATTAAACAAGTTTATTTCACTTCATGAGAGTCACAATCAGCGATTTTTCACACACTCACTCACTCAGCGATCAGAAAATCGCTGATTGTGACTCATAGAAAGCAAAATTTACAGGTTTTATGTATCAAACGCATACTTTGTAACCTCTTCTTGTAAGTTACAAGTAAAACATGTCATCATACCATCTTTTGGTTTTATTATTCCGAAAAACATTATTTTAGTTATGTCAAGTTATATCAGCTACAGGTAAAATGCAATGCTAATGAATGGAATATTAAAATTTTTCACAAAATTTTAAAGTTTTAAATATAAATTTACAAAATTTACTGTGCTGCTATTCCAGTGATTTTCAAAAAAAAAACATCCAGGTCCAGTGCCTACCCATTTTTGGCAACATGACCGCATCAGCTATTTCTTTCTTCATATAAGTAATAGTACATTCTTGACATTTTTACATGACCTTGGCATGGATTTATAACCAATGAAAAGTGGACCACTACAATCTTAAACTGAAAAAAACGTTCGATACATTTTATAGAATGTAACAAAGACAGAAATTGCGTGTTCTCAATAACGAGAATGCACCGATTTTTTTTTCAAAATTCACAAATTTTGAACGTGCTAAGCGCCAACTAATCAGTTCAAACAGTAACCGGGATGTTACTATGATTGATAGCAAAGTGTGAAGGAAAATGCATCGATCTTAATGTAAATCTAAAAGAAGGTTTGCTGAAGGTGAAAGTAGTAGTTTGAGTAAATACAAATTTCAAAAATGGTTTTCTCTGAGAGATCACTTCAGATTGGAAAAAGCTCTCGTCGTTTTGTGCGAAATAATAAAAGAAAAACATCGACAAGAGCTTTTTGCAACCTAAAGTTATGTCTCAGATAAAA